GCATCGGAGCCAAACCAAGCTGGAAGGAAAGTCTTATTTTACTGCCATTTTTAGTCATTTCAGAGATGCACTACTTGAGTTTACATCTAAACTTGAGCTGGCTCATTGATTCTCTTTCATTCAGTTTTTCAAAAGGCATTTCTGTTGTATTTTTTCATGTTTTTATTTTTTTTTTGGCCTCATGCTATTTATTGAAGCCTCATTAAAATGTAAACTTTGCCCCTCCCTGAAGTCTGAGCAAATCTGAGTCTTCCTTTAGTTGTTTTCTTTTCTGCTTCAAAATGTTAAATTATGAAATCCTGTGCCAACTGGTGACCTCCAGTGGAGCTTTTCCAGTAACATAAATAAACCTTTGGTCTCATTGACTTGTTGGAAACTTGCAAGAAAAGTCTTCTAGTGTTTTTAAAATTTGTAAATATTTGAATAATAAGATAGCTTTCTTCCTCAAATCATTGCCTTGACTAAAACGACTTCCTTTAGTTCTGTACATAACTCTTTCAAACTCAGTCTTTTATTTCAATTTCCACTTTTACTTTCTGAWTGAGAATTGTTTTAGTGACTTCACTTATAAAATCACACTCCCAATGACTTTGAAAGTGGTGAGTAAAACTCTAGCGTGAGCATTTTGAGTTTGACATTGATGTCTGTAGGGTAGCACCAACAGCAATGTATTGTTAAGAGACGTGATTTGTTTCACTTTTACTTGAGGGTAGCTACATTAGGCACAAACACAGATTCATTTCTTGAACAGTTAACACATCTGCAGGGTATTCTTGCTCCAACAGCAAAACAATTTCACAGAAAACTAACTATACAACTGTGGCTGATACCACTGCTAATCAGTGCTCAGTTTGCTTTGGGCATCCTCATTTCAATTTAACTAGAAACCTACTGGTGCAGCATGTTATTGTTTTCTTACAGTGACTCATAAATTAAGAAGAGCTTTTTTTTTATCTCACAACTCAAGAGACAGTGAGATTTAGAGTTGAATGCATTGAAATTGTTCACAGAATCAGACTAAAACTGGACTAAATGTTTAAAAGTAAAAGTTTTCTAAATGGTAAATGGACTGAACTTATATAGCGCTTTATCAAGTCCCTCCAGACCCCAAAGCGCTGTACACTTACAGACATTCACCCATTCACACAAACATTCACACACTGATGATGGCAAACTACGTTGTAGCCACAGCTGCCCTGAGGCACACTGACAGAGGTGGGGCTGCCATGCACCGGTGCCACCGGACCCTCTGACCACCATCAGTAGGCAAGGTGGGTTAAGTGTCTTGCCCAAGGACACAACGACTGAATCGGCTGGACGGGGAGGTYGAACCGGCGACCTTCCGGTTCCAGGACGACTCCCCTAACCACTCTGCCACAGCCGCCCAAATGTCTAATCTTAGTCTTGAACATAAAATAGGTGTCTGCATTTTGATTGGCATGAAAAAAGTTGGGCAAACATAAGAACATCCTTAGTATTTCTCTTTTCCCACTGAGTGCTGGCAGCTTCTGTGGTGCTTCAGCATCTGAATCGTGGTTGATCGTGTACCTTGACTGAGCTATCTGATTGGCTAAGTCATAGTTATCATTAACTTCTTCTGAGCTGGGCTAAATCTGATTTCTGTATCAAGTGGTGTACAATGTGTCATTTATGGACCACATGTAATGAACTTGTAGCTCAGATATTGCCCGGGGACCAACAAGTATGGTCACTGTTGGGAATGCATTTAAAAAACAAAAAGGCTAGGGTAGAGCTTAGTTTAATAACAAATACAGTTTTTACAAAAGTTTTTAATTTCCAAAATAAAATGCAAAACTCTTCAAACACTTAATTTATTTTGGTATTTGACATGATTGTTTGTAAACTACAGATACAAACAGTTAATCTGACTTGTAACAAATGATAGAAAAGCTAAAAGAGTCTGAAAACCTTTAGTAAGCACCATGTTCTTCAATTTTTTTCTTTTGAAAAATATGCCTATAAGGTAGGAGCCCTCAAAATGTCAATCATCGTCACACAAATCAACTGATAAAGAAAGCCTCCAGATGTATTAAAACTTAAATACACACCAGGGTGATGAGAAGTACTTTAAAGGCGATAAGAAGCACTTGCCATGACAGCAACTGTGTTTTAAAACCCCTCATAAATGAGCCCCTTAAATCCTGAAAGTTTTAGATACTAGGTAGTAAATCCCTTATTCTAGTCCCAACATTTCCTTTTCTCAGTGTCTGACAGTTTGTCACTACTTATGATCCAGTTTAATACAAAGAATTGTTTGTTTTTGTCACGTTGTAGTCCAGCATTTGAGCTTTCCTTTCTTTCTCACCTCCCTCGCCCATTTGTCATCCTTTCCTTWTTTCATTTCCTTTTACTTTTCTTCCAGGAAGTCATAGATATATTTGAAGGTGTGCGAGACGACCAGGCACTTCGGATGGCAGCTAATTTGGGTTTCAAAGGACCTCTGCAAAGACAGGTAAGGGGTGCGCTGAAGGCTTTAAAGTTACAATGAGTGGGGGGAGACAGAGAGATCTGCAATTCACACACGCGCGCACGCACGCACACACACACACACACACACACACACACATGCGCGCGCACACACACGAGAGAGAGAGAGAGAGAGAGAGAGAGATGCAAGTGGATTTACAAAGCCACCGTACTTTGGCTATTATTAGTTTTCCAGAGGCAAATTGTGAAGTGTCATTACACAGGGCTCACCTGCCAGGTGGTCCATTGTTGTAGCTGGCAGTGATGCATGGCACTGCGCCAGGCTCAGGACCTGACATCACTAATGATACCATTATTTGATAGAATATGCTGCACAGTGATTTTGTGATCAGTGCATTATATGATCTTGCGGTAAACATGAAAATTCCCCTAACTGAAAAAAAAAAAAAGCTACAGACTTTTTACCCAGTGAAACAACCCCTTTTCTTTGCCTTTTTACCTTGAGTTTTGAAAACCACGTTCAAGCATCATTTGTTCATAAAATGAGGCAGGGGAACCACAGCACAGAAGCACCCCAGGTTTCACAGTCCAAATGGGTCTGTGTGCTTGGATGAGTCGGTTTCAAAGCCTCTTTTGTCTCTTGGCGTCAGATCACTAATTTGTTTTCTTTTCCTCAGGCAGCGTGGCATGAGAAATCAGATTAACTCCAAATTGTAACACACGGGAAAAAAAAACAAAAAACGTTGAAATCARAGAAAATAAATCTGCCTCTGTGAAGCAAACTTGAGTTGAAGACTTGTTCGCTTTGGTTGCGTTCCATTATTTGTGATCTTTGGATGTGCAGGATGTTGAAAGGGCATTGATTTGAAACAGGCRAAGGTAGAAATGGAAAAGGATCGCAGTATCGTCGGTGTGCTTTTCCCTGGTTGCTGTGAGTCAGCTTCCAGACTGTTCAATTCAGACCAAAACCCTGCCTTTTTTGTTGCAAATAGGCTGTTTGATTACAGGAGAAATTGTATGCATGTGTGTGCCAAYACACCATTTTTGAATTAACCTAAAAAAGATGGTGAGTTTTATGGAAAGTGTATGAGCATAAAAATGAGTTTTGATGTGATGTCAAATTGCTTTTTGCTACTAAAAACTGTTGAGGAATTTCAAATGGGCATTTAAATTTCTAAAATTCTGCTTGCAATGACAAATTTATTTTTCGAGTTGTGAGGCATGTTTCAGTTTAAGATAAAGAGAACAAAACACACAACATTAGACAAGTGTTAGATGTAATCTTATATGGGGTATTATTTGATCAACATGCTGGAGGCTAAATTTTCCCTGGATCTACACATTAATGCAAAACCAGCTCAGGCAKCCTGATGTTGACTGTGATTTGCCGTGTTTTATGCAGCTTGTGAAGCAAAGCTGTGTGGCCTTGGTGGGGCTGAGTGCTCAGAGTCAAACCCTCCGGTAATTACTGTCGTCTATGGACTTTGCAGGCAGCAGATCAGATTAAGAGGCTGTATGATCTGTTCCTGAAAGTCGACGCCACTCAAGTCGAAGTCAATCCTTTCGGAGAAACTCCTGAAGGACAAGGTACTGTGTTTTATACAAAATGTTGTCCTTGTGTTTGTGTGTGTGT